GTATTATAGTGAATTTTTGATACGAAGTAAAAATTGCAAATGTTTTTGCTCAATTCTGGACTTATCAATGTGTCAACCAAGCTTACCTGGTGTTACACTGAATTTAAGTTGCAATATTTAATTGCGGGAAAAATGTTTATACACAAGTAAGAAAGTTATGTACGGGAAATCTTTTGTATACTCCGCGTCAACCTAAAAATGGAAAACTGCAAGTATTTTGAAGTCGTAACAGACTATGAATCGAAACTACTTTTACACTGTGCTTGCAGATGACAAATGGATAATGTTTGCTTAAAATTACAACAAGTTCACCTTATGGGGCATCAGTTAGAGTATTGTGTTGGTTACTTGTGGATTTTTTGCAGATTTACAAAATATTTTTGTCAAGTCTTACATTTATTCTGCACTAATATTTTAAACGGAGATATTAAGTCACTTTTGTACTTATTTCTGGGTTTGCAGGCAGAACAGGCCCTCAAACAAAGAGTGTTCAAATTCTAGCTTAGATTTTCTCGTCAATTTTTCTGACAGTGGATGGTAAGGACTAACGAGGAAGGTTTAAAGGATGGACAGACGGAGAAACGGCCGCAGAACATGAAATTTACATAATTTACAAATATCTGTTGCATGTTTCTGGTGGCTAAGAACGGAAGGTTAAGTCCCAATTGCAAGTTTATTGAAACTAGAGAGTCATCTTTCATCATCGTCCTTCATTCATGTATGAACCTCGATATCCTCTTCAGGATCGGTTGTCCGTTTGCTTACTTATCGCAACTGAGATTTACATTTGAAAATGTTTCCTGGAAGATTCGAATTTCTTTTCGTGACCACTTTTCGACCACTTAATTGACAACATTTCTGCTCCGACAGCCCTAAGTGAAAAATTTGTACTTGTAGACTTCTCAGATTAGTTTCTTTTCACTTAAAGAATTCTAAGGCTAACATTGCCTATTACAAGATTTCTTTGACTAACATAGACGCACTTATTCCTTGCCTTTGATTTTAAAAGAAATTTAAAATCTTTGAATTCAATATCCGATGTATTAGGTAGAAAAGAGTGAATGTCAATATGGTCCCGATTAGCTTAGAGACGGACACATTTCCAAGCAAAATATTTTGCAATTTTCACGTATTGCGTTATGATAATTTTTATCAGAAACCCACTTCAAGTCTCAAATGTTTGTTTGTGTAAACAATTTGAATTGAATTTCTAGTAGAACTACGACATTTCTTCAGCGCTTTTAGTTGATGAATTTATCACTTTAAGGCTGATTTAATTATTACTTGCGCCAGCTTTAAAAATACTGTTCGCCATCTTTTCCTTTTTGAGAAAATTATTAATAATTAGTAGGTGTGGCTGAGTCTTTCTATTCGTATAGAATAATTTTGCGGAATTTTGTATCGTGTATCTGTTGTAGTTTACGAGCAACGAGCAAAAGACTTTGAAAGCAAAGGTGTTCTCAGTTTTGACAGTACTGTAGGCGTGTCTTTGGACCGATTCGGCCCATTTTCAATACCAACCTTTACTTTGATTTTTGCCTCCGTGAGAATGTTTACAACGGACATTACATAGACGGACGCATCCGCTTAAGTCAGTTCAAAGTTTAATCCTAATCAAGAATACGGGATATTTGAAGCTTGCTACTGGGCGTCGCAAACGTTTCGACAAAACGATCATCTATCAGCGATGGGTATAAAAACATGGCTCGATAACCAAAGTTTAAAAGTTCTTGATGACTATGTATCTTGAGCGCAACTTTAGTAGTTACACCGTAATGTCTGTGCCTATCAGTAAGTAGTGGACGCACTATGCGGCACTTTGTCTACTTCGGAAGTGCTACTTGTTTATTTTACACTACATAAAATTTGTATAAGACTTCAGTTGATAGTTTATTATGAACCAGAGATGAGAGGTCCAAGTGCTACGATTACACACCTATATACATAAAAAAAGCTGTGTGAAATTCTAGGATTTTGCCTATTGGGGCTGTACATGAAGACGTAACAGGTCTTTTTGCAAATGATGATTGTCAGCTAACGGTGTTCGAGCCGTGGCTTATATTTTTTTTTCACTTTTCCTGAGAACGTGTAATTTACAGGCATCCGCGGCATGCTTCCGGAAATTAAGAACAGAAGAGTAAGCCTAATGGCCTGTCATTCTTAGGCTGTGTGATTCTTTAGTAGCCTTACACCACTTTTCATTTATATCGAACTTGGCATCTATATTTTATTGCAATTTTAATATGTGGAAACTTTTTCAGGAACCCGGATGTATCATGACTTCTAGATAAAAAATTTTTGAACAATATCTGTCATAGATTGTAAATTGAAAGCCTTCCGCTTTTTGCAAACCTATTTTTCACTGGATCCATACTTTTGTTACTTAGTATAGATTATAATTTAAAATTCCTTGTCCAATGTGAGAGTGTTTGCAGTCGGATGATGACCATCTTCTGGTGTAACCACCTGTCTTCCTGACAGATAGAGAAACCCAAATGGTAGATGGGGAATAGAGAATAACATATTTCGGTCAGAAATCATGCGCTTATAGAGAGTATGCAGTAAATTCTCTATATCACGTGTTCGTTCGTATAAGACGGATTTGTAGTAAAACACGATAAAATTTTAAATGTGGCCGTAGTGTGCTGGTATAATACGGTAAAAGTATGAGACAAAAAATATACATTGATAAATTTTTAGACATCTCTCTTTCTCTCTTTTATGAAGAATGAAAACATTCATCATTCAACGACCATAAAAAATTTGTTGTCATGCATTGTCTTATTAAAGAAAGTTTTTTTAAATATAACAAGTAAATTAGTAGCCATGGGCGCTGTGGACATGTGACTCGTACAATAATAATTCATATTAAACGAAACGAGTCATCATATTTAAGGGTAGTCTGCTGTGTGCACTGAAGAGAAAATACAATACTCTTCAAAATTAGGCATCAAGAAGAGGAACTCGAATCAACTTAAGTTATTAAGTTATGCAATTTATATATGAAATATTATGCATACATGTTAAATGCTATTTTTAATAAAATGCTTTTGCTTATTATCATTATTAGCAGAGTGTTGTCCATTGTTAGCCCTTAGTCTTCTCACATCTCTGACCGAATATGACCAAAAGAGCAATTCGTTCTTTGGGACTTATTTCTATGTCTTAAATCACTCTAAGCAATGTAAGCACACTTTGCATAAGATATAAGTCATCGATTAAAACAGACAGCAACTAGCCACCAGCCTACGACTACGGTTAGGATTCTCTAATTCAATGCTGCTAACGTTCTCTAGCCAGCTTTTGCAATAGGGTCCGATCACCTTCATGCTTAGTAATCATAACAATTTTTAAAATATCGGCGCCGTTTTTCGGCTCACGTGGATAAGTTCTTTAATGATTTCTTGCTTCATTCATGGTCGCGTTGACTTAAATGAGCGCATACAACGATCACCCAAAATTGTGGATCTATGACTTTACGGTCATTGTTAAGATTTCGTTTCACTTCCAAGCTGAATTTTTTCCACTAATCGCTTCGGCCTTTTACATTCATTTAATATCCACCACTTGTCATGACTCAGCCTCAGCAGACTCCTCTTCAAATTAAGTAAAAAACGCATGCCGTCTCATGTCTATTTGCGCAAAATTCGATTGCTTACTAAACAGTTGCTTACATAACAATATTATCCAACACAAAGGAGTACTACAATATAAGCTTATGCAAGACAGAGCTTCCTTGAAATAGAAAACTCTAAGCCAAAGAGAGAAGAAACGAGTTTGTTGTTATACGATTTGTGGAACATTCCAAGATCAATGTCGCTATGAAATAAAGTTGATAAGTAGCGAAAACTTCTCAGAAAAGTTTATGACTATTCTGTAGAATTTCTCAGAATGCCGATGGAAACTAAAATTTAAAAAAAAAAACATAAATGAATTGTTCAAAATTATCCGCGGCAATCTAATCGCTCAGAGGGTTGATTAATCCAGCTCTTCTCTTCCGTCAGGAGTTTTCTTAAGTAACATTTAAATTTTCCGTTTTATAGTCCGCCGAGAACTAAAGCGAGACTAGGTTTTTCACATAAGGTCTTTAAAAGAAATCAAAGGATACGAATATTAATTTTCGTGCGAGTCTTTAGGTAGTTTAAGACCATTCAAACCTTAAAGCCGACAAAGCTTATTGAAATTTAAAAAACCAAAAAAAAGAAAAAAAAAAGTAAAAACACTGCAGTGGGACACGGCTCACCATTAAATACCATAAATCACTTTACTTAATATAGTTATTTGTGTAATGACTTTCCAGAAGAAGGTGGTATATAGAACGTGATTGGAATAGTGACTCGGTCCGGATAATTTTCAATAGCATTCGCTCTTGAGACAAAACAAATTTCTTCAAACGTGTTCGTTGTAAATTGAATCCAAGAAAATAAGACAGACAGTCGGACAGACAAGCTTGGATCGATTCAGTGGTGTAGTGTATAAAGATTTTTAAAATTTTTCATTAAATTTTGTAAAAAGTTGCATGAACTTCCTGCCTTGATGAAAGTAAGACCAAATCTTTTCTAAGGATACGCGGGTAAAATATCTTCAGTAGGAATGGCAAAGTGTTGTAGTTTTGGTTAGTGGGTAATAAGAAACTTTCACTTTTTTTTTTTTTTTGCTAAGATATCCATACAAATAAAACGATAAAAAGCAAGGTGCTATTAAAAGTATTTTTTGGGATATACATTAAACTTAAACTTTAGGTAAAAAGAAAAAGAAATTTATAGTTATAATACAAAAATGTTAAATAATAATAGAAAGATATATGAAAAAAATTTTTTTGTTTTTTTTTTTTTTTAAATACAAAATATAAATGTTTATGTAAATTATATTTTAAATACGGTTTTTTCTTGTTACACTTAAATGGAAGGAATTTGTTTTTTTTTTTTTTTTTATAACAATTAATTAATTTTTTTTTTTTCTCATTTCAAATCATTAACATAAGTTTCAGTCACATTTTGATTACATTACTCGTAAGTTTTTACATTGAAGAAAGAATCCACTAAAATGCAACTAAATTTCTTTATTTATTTATATAAAAATTTAAAAAAAAAAAATGCTTTTGGTGTATTTTTTCCTAAATTACTAAAACAAAATTGGCGGGTTTGTACATATAAAAAGAAAAAGAAAAAAAAAAAAAACTTGTACAAAAAACGCCACTCCAAGCACCTACCACTAAGAGCAATGTTTTTAAAACAGTATTTATAGCATATAACAGGGCTTAGGTCTAAAGAGATGTAAGAGTAAGAGAGAAGCGCGAAAGAGAGTGAATATAAATGGCTTTGTTTTTTTGTTTTCTTTTTTTTTTTGCTTTCATTTCTTAGATGTAAAAGAGTTAAGTTCAGTGTTCAGATTAAGTTTTGAGTAAAGTTATTGTAACTTACTTACGTTCCGTTGCCGCACCCACGCACACATACACGCACACATTCACAGAAACCTACATTAATTTTCACATGAAACATACACTCACGTAACATATTCACAGATTCTTATTAATATTTTTTGTTGTTTTTTTTTTTGTTTTTCTTTTTTTGTTATTCATAACTAAGAAATGCATAACTTTCCAAGAAAATGTCAAAAAACTGAAGCCTTCTCTAACATGTGCGGTATAAAAAAAATATGATACTGTAAATAAGTAAACTCAAGTATTTGGTGAGAGGTCTTGACTTATTCGAAGAATCAAAGACGGGAAAATGTATTTCCTCAGGTTCGCTAAGTTCTTCCTCTTCATCGTCAATTGCATTGGCTATGGTACGATAACGCATTGTAAAGTTAACTTTAAAAATTGCTTCGGCTACACCGCCCGGTGAAGAGACAATAAAGTAAAAAGTCCTTGGAACACGTTCATGCATGCTAACGTACGTTAGACGGGCCTCTTTACAATACGGGGTCGGTAGATCCTAATTGAAAGCTTTGAATTAACATATTATCGATTATTGTAAGCAAATCAAACTTACCGTTACGCCATAAGCTAATACTGTATTCCCGTATTGATTACCGGGCGTATAAACGCGATCGCCATGCAACCAACGAGCAGCATGAGCTGGAGGATTCGCACAAAACTCAACAGCTAAATGCAAAGGCGAGCCAGGATATGCAACTGGCGTTGAATTACGTGCTACTACTGTAGGTGCACCTGTAATTATTTAATATAAAAAACAAAAAAAAAAATTTTTTTATATACAAAATTCAATTAAACGTTTCCGAAAAAAGGGAATGCAATAAAGTTAGCTTTGAAAACTTAATCCCTGTTATGTTTAAAACGGAAACGCACTTGTAAAATCGTTAATAAAAGTTTACGTAAATCGAATTAAATGAATTTCTTAACAATAATAAAATAAAAAAAAAAAAAAAAAAAAAAAATTGTATTTAACATCGTTGTCGAAAGACAACGTCATTGAAGGCAATCACACACAACAAGCAACAGCATCAACGACAGGAAATTGAACGATGCTCATTCTTTCATTGTTCAAACTATAAACAAACAAAAGAGCAAGAGAGTGAGAGAGAAAAAGAAAAAAAAAAAAGACTAAAAGTAAAAGTAAAAAATAAGATAAAAAAAGACACCGAGAAAATAAAGTTCTAAGTAAATAATAGAAATACCACTTGCCAACGCTTACTTTTATGTAAATACTAAACCAACAACAACAACAACACGAACAACAATAATAATATCTATGAAAATTGCATAAAGTTACAGCAATCATTACTATCGTGAGAATTGTTGTAATTGCTTTATGCGCATTGTAGTTGTTCCTACTTATCGTCCTTATCGTTGAATGTCTTCGCATTGCTTCGATATTGATGTTGTTATTGTTGCATAGCATAGCATAGTTTTCCCCCAGAATAGTTAATGCGAACATAAAGTGGCAATTTATTTGGAAAATTCAATTTTAAAATTTTACATTTCGTTCTCTCTCTCTCTCTCTCTCTCTATCTCTCTCTCTCTCTCTCACTCTTTTAAGAACAATGTTTTATTATAGAAATGTAGTGTTTTCTTTTTTTTCTTGTTTTTCTTCTTCTTCTTTTTTTTTTTTTTTTTGTTTCCTCTCCTTTGGCTCAAATAAAAAACGAGGGAATCAGAAATGTTTAGCTAAAGTAACTTTAGATTCTGTGTTACTTTTGAAAAGAGCGAGAGAAATGTGTCTTGACCGCTTGCTTGCTTTCCTTTCCTTTCGTTCTTTCTTGTTTTCCCAATAAAGAAATTCAATTATTTTTCAAGTAAAAACAATAAAATTCTAAATAAGTTTTCAAATTACTTTAAATTATTTCGTATTAAAGTTTTACAATAAAAATAATATATTTCTTGGAACTGCTTTCTGCTACATGCAGCAATTCATCTATTCGTCATTCACGTGAACGAAGTTTGATATCCTTTTTCCTCTGCGAATGTATTTCTGATCGCAATTAATTGCTTTTGACAGACAGTATAAATTAGATTGAAGTCCAAAAATTGACAGTCAATTTATTTTAAAATTATCTCTGATATCCGATATCTGATTACAAATACTTAGTAAGCATCGTAGCCATAATATAATTATGTACATATATGATACAATGAATGCCATAACATCTATGACGATACAGATTCAATTTTTCATCTAATGATTAATAATAACACATTAAAGTTGTATGGAATTGAGGGAAAAATCATTGGCTTCAAAATTGAAATGCTATAGCATTTTACAACGAGGGCAATGACATTATTATGTCCGCCAATTTGTTAATCTGCTCTTGACATTTCGGTCCTTCGAGCTTCGTGAAATCTCTGAAACTATCCTCTGGCTACTAATTATAATATTTACATTAAAACAAGTGAAAACATTATATCTCGGCAAGACGCGACTATTAAATGCTCTACGTCACTTGGCAACAGTAATACAGTTATACATTTTATCTCCGCGATAGCAGGACAAATATTGTTTTCATGTAACGGCAAGTAAGTGAAAACACTACATATATATAAGACAAAACATTTGCAACAACAAAACTATCAAGTACTACTTGGAGAGACATGAACGAGAGCACGAGAGAGCAAAAAAAAAAAAAAAATAAAAACAGAAGCGAGCAAATTTACTTAAATTTGTGCACTATGCAGTACATGTAAGGCCAGACTATGAACTTGAAGAATATATTCTATGGCAAAAATACTTGTGAACGGTTGTGCCTGCCTTCGCTCAAGTTCACATTTATGAGCATAAGCAATGGAATATTGTCGTCTTAAAAATATCATTATTTCGTCATGAAAATCTATGAACTAAAATTTAATGCTATTTATAGGCTTATGCTTCATGAGGATACTTATATACGGTGCGGTCTAGCAAATTTATATCTATGTAATTCAAATGATTAGGTAAAATTGCTATTATTATCATGGTCGAATTTTCGCCATAAAATGTTAAAAATTAGATCTTTAAGCCTCAGTTTCCACATGACAGATTGTATGTGGCGCACTTTAAAAAATTTGACCCATTCGATCCAGGTTTCACACATCAATTCAAAAAGCTTAAATTTTATTTGTTAGCGATTTTCACTCAAAAATTTTTAAATTTACAATTGTTCCCACATATTGCAAGGATCACTTAAAAATAATATGGAATATAAAAAGTACGAAAGCTACTCAATCCAATTGTGTTCATCCTTAGAACTCAAAATGTCAATGGGTTAAATTTCGTCAAAATATTTAAAAAAGGACGATCTATAACTTGAAGACAAGAAAATAAAATTAAAGAACGGACAGACAAGCTTAAATCGATTAAGAAAGTGATAGTGATCCGACTGGTTAGCGTACGACGAGTTGGTCTTAAGTCCTCCTACATATCACATACGTCTGCACAAACATAATTTACACTATGGTACCAGTGGTGTAGGGTATAACGACTATTAGCTAGAAAGTCATTCTCCATATCATAGTTAGGGAATTTAGGGCTACAATGCACGTAGGAAGATCTACTTCAAACACAAAATGTAGATATGCGTGCTATTGAAGATGTTGCATCCGGTGGTGATATCGTTTCAGAGATCGGGCAACGCGGGCAAAAATCACTGCACCCTAGTTGTAATTTTAATTTGAGCACTTTTTTTCAACGTGCTTTCGTGTCAACTTGGAAACTGCTGGATGGTATTTTGAAAATTCTCGTTCGTTGATCATCCTACAACTTTGCATACGCCTGTCTTTTCCAAAATAGTATAATATAGCGCGCTCTGTTCTTCTGTGTACAAACACAGCACAAAATTGCCGAATAATTTTTTTTAAATAATGTTTTTGGTATCCGGTGGTAATAGGGTTTAGTGGGGAAGAGACTTTTCCCCCGATTCATTTTTATGTGAAGGAACATAAAAGCTGGATGCGTTTAGAAGAAATCCAGGTGCTTTTATGTATACTCATAGAAAAATGAGTCTGGAGGCAAATTTATTTTCCATTTTTTGCTTATTCGCAAAATTATTTGCAAAATAATTTATAAAAATATAATATAGACCACGCCATTGAATAATAATATCTTACTGTGAGGTTTTCGTAGTCTTAGTCATAGAGAAGTGGCAAGAGGAGACATGATTTTAAGGTGTTTTTTTTTTTTTATCCTCACTGGTCACATTCACAATCAATAAAGCAAGTGCACGATGCAGGCAGAGGATGCCGACTATAGATCAAATGTGTGTAGGAGAACTTTTTGCATTCGAATGCTTGATGGATGACGACGCAGGAGTGATAGTAGGCTGCGTACACCTTCGAAAATTTAAGCAGCAGTGTCGATGGGTGCTGACTGCTGGTTGTGGCCTCTTGTGGAGTAATGCAGTGACTATAGCTAACTCAAAGACGGGGAACCTATAACCAATGAGGTGTCATGGAAGAGTGCGTTCTTGTTGAAATGGGTATAGGAAAATATAGAAAAACTTTGATTTAAAAAAGTATAGCAAACCCTACAACTTTTGTAGAATCCTACTGGCGGCACCTAAATTAACTTTACGGCAACAGAAATGGCATCTTTCTGAAGTGTTTGGTTGGCTTTATGTGGCACCACCCAATTTTAGGCGAGTAGCCCTTATGCTGTAAAAACTTCGATCTCAACAATTTTCCTTACAATGCTCTCCAGACGTAAGGACGCATCACATTTCGGCATCAAAGACGAACGTCCGTCAGTTTATTTCACATTTAAAATCCATCCATTGTTTGTTTATTATTCGAAAGAAGTTAGAAATGAAAATAAATGTAAGAATAAGTTTTTTCTTTGTCTTCTTTCTGAAAAGATTATTATTATGATTTATAGATAGTTGCCTTTTTCGCTTCAATTTCGCTTATATTTCATGAAATGGTTGATTATAGCTGACGGAACGAATATTCTTTATATTAAAAAATCTTGGAATTTTCATTTTTCTCATTTCACTGTGATTGACCCAAATGTTACGAACAAAAATGCATGGTAAGAAGATATTGGGCAAAAAAGTGGAAAATGAAAACCAACACTTAACTGAGAGAATGTACAATATTTCAGAGTGTTAACCACTAAGGATTAACAACTCTTACGTTGGCAACATTTGCAGTATTAAAGTTACGACGTGGTAAAGCTCAATTCAAAGTAGAATGCAGGAGCGGCTAAAGTAAGAGATTCATTAAATTTTCACATAGTGAAATATTACGTGCGAAATCTTAACAAGTAGTGAAACGTACGAAAGTAATGTGGAGGGAAAAGTTAAAAATGTAAATCTTTATAAAGGAGAGAGTAAAAGTAAAATCACTTGAACGAAGAAAGTCTTGTAAATTTTTTTGTTGGTTCTTTTTGTTTTTTTTTTTTTTTTTTTTTTGTTTTTATGATATAAGAAAGAGATTATATTCGAACTGTAGTGAAGCGTTTAATAGCAAATACTTGCCTGGATTCGTTTTCGAGATGCATTGGTATCTTTAACAAGATATCTATATATATCTGCGAGTTGGAGGTTTTATATAAGCTAAAGGGTTTTGTCACATAAGTGTGGGAAATCAAAATGAAACTATATGTAGTTTATGATGACTACGCAGATGATTTATTGCCTTAAGGCAGGAATTTACTTTGAAATATTCATTAATAAATTTTTGTAAAAAAAAGTAGGAAAATTATTTTCGGCTAAAAACGAATCTTCCATGCTAAAAATGAGTAA